CTTTCCTGGAGATGGAGGGCGATGGGCAGCACAGTGCGGGCTGCCTCTACCTGGATCAGTTGCCCTGAGCTCATCCATCCCCCCAAAAGGCTTCGGGAAGGTGGTTGGAACATTTTGTACCATCCTGCTCCTATTATAGAAAGATGTAATTCCCCAACTTGGGAGATAATAAGCAGGTATTGACTTCTGCTGAGGTCATTATCAAGATTTATTCAGTCAATATGGCTTCTCAGGTCAATAAATCTTGAGGTTGATAAAGGAGGAATATATACTTGCAGACTTTATTAAAAAGTTTTCCCCTTCTGTAACAATTCCTAGTGTTTGTGGTGTTAGCATCTACCACTGAATGCTCTTTAATCACCTTTTTTTTGCAGTTCCCAGAACGTTTTGCAACAACAGCAAAACCAAAGCAGGAGGAACCAAACCCTGTTGGCATCAACGTGCCATTCTCCATTGCCAGCCTGCACCCTTGTGCCTCAGTTTCTCTGCTCATGGGCAGAGAACTGAGGTTTTGGGGTCACGCATGGGAACACAGCCATATAGAGAGGATGCATGGGCACACTGAATTTTAAGTTGAATTTCCCAGTTCCATGCACACTAGTGTTGGCATAGATGCACGCATCGAGGACGTCTTCCAAAGCTTTTTAATATGGCCTCGCTGTGTAATTTTTTCTTTTTTTTTTAACTAGTTCGGTGCAACATTTAATGATTTCCCCAAAGCTCCAACAGGACCCCAGAGTATTGATGGAGCTGCGGTTTCAGTGACTTGCTGCTAACACATGGCTGTTTTCGTATTAATTGATGGGTGTGCACATGCTGGTGACTTCTTCTGCAACACGGGTTTCTAAAAAAGTAAATAACCCATTGGAACCCCATGTCAATGTGACTCCGGTGGGAGCCACGCCGTGCGTCAGCCGCTCCAAGCGTGCTGCGGTTGCCTTGGGTAACGCTGGTGCAGTTGTACGCTGAAGTCAGGACCTCAGGCTTCCTTTGTTTTCCTCCGTCAGGAGAACATTCGTGCAGCATTACCTGGTGCTGCTGATGTGCTGTGTGAGCAGGGCTGCTCGGCTCAGAGGGGTCTGGGGAGCACCGCGACCTGGCTGTGCGTTGGTGCTGCAGGGAGCGGTTCTTCGTTATTTATCACGGAGCGGTTTGCAAACATTGCTTCATCCCTGGGAGCCGGGTAATCATTACCCTGTTTGTCCCCTGTCTTCTTGGCTAACAGATGGATGGAGGCGGGTGGGGGCAAACTGGGGACTTTTCAGCTGTAGAGACCAAACATTGGGAACTTTCTGCCCACGGACCATGCAGGGTTGAAGGAAGAAGCATTGCTAAAACCCAACGTGAAGCATGTTGGCCAGGTAGGGTTTAAAGAAAGAACACTGCTCCAATCCCCGTGGGTACATTCCCCGTTGGTGTGTGTGCTGGTGGTGCTGGCATGCAGGTGCCCTGCAGAGGGATGCTTTTGGCGACTACCTGCCCACTGCTCCTGTGGCTCTGCCATCTCCCCAAGGGCCTCGACTTCACCAAAACACCACTTTCTGACCCCAAAATGTTGTGTCTGTCCAGGGGCCACATGCCATTCCGCACCATGTGAGCACGGCACGCGCTGCAGAAGCAGCGGAGCTGGGGCCGCTGTGCCTCCCGCTACCGCAGCACTCCTTCAAATAGAAGCAGCTAATTAACATTATTCTTTAATTATTGCCTTTATCAACAAGGGGTCTGGTTTATACCAGCAGGATAGTCGCTTTCCCTTCCACTACCCAAGTGAATGCTTCAGTTCCTGTTGCTTTTGAAATGAATTTGATGTCATCTGCCCATTGTCACTTAATGGGGACACTTGGGTAATGATTGCGCGCTCCAGCCCTGTTAGCAGCACTGCGAGCGTGTAATTTAGCCCCTTAGGCAACAGTACTTTTGAAATCTCTGGATAGTTTTGAACTCTCTGTTCTTAATTAAATATGCAATTTTTCACGGTAACCAGGTTAATTCTTTTGTGTTGTGTTGTAATACTGTTAGGAATTTTCATAGTTCTTATTAAACATTATTCAGGCATTGTGAATTCCATAATTAAAAAAAATGAAAAGAACAAAGCTTGATTCACTTCTTTCTTTTCCCTGGTTAATTTATCAAATGAATTTTGCAAATTTTTCTTTTTGTCCCCAGACAGTGTGCCAAGTGTTTTAAAGGGGAAGGATTTAATTGCTCTGTAGGGATTGGTTGGTTATGAAGGATTTGGCTGTTTGATTAGTAAACCCTACTGGGAATGGTTTAATGCTCCATGATCTTAAAAATTGTCTGATTGTTGGGCTCTCCAAGGATGCTTTCTCTTTTCGTTATGTACGGCAACAGCTTCGTACAAGTGTGATTATGGGGTGGTGAGGAGGGAGCTGATCTGCCTGCCCCAATGTAGGGAAATGATATTGGGAACGGCAGTGGAGGGACAACGTAACTGGGGGATGCAGAACTGCAAAGCTTTGTAGCATCTCCTACTGAGGTGAGATTGGAACACCCATGTCCAGCAGATCTGGAGGTGTTCAAGAACCGTGTGGATGTGGTTAGTGGGCATGGTAGGTTGGGGTTGGACTTGGTGGTGTTAGTGTTCTTTTCCAACCTTCGTGATTCTGTGATTCTGCAGGCACTATTGGAGCTTGGGTCATGGAAGTATGGGATCTGGGGTTTTCTTGTGGGATCTGGAATTTCCCATGGGACAGGATGGGTTCTGTGTCCTGCCCAAGGCACAGGGCAGCCTTGGGTGATGCTGGCCGTGAGATGGCTGCCAAACGGGATCAATAGTGGCAGCTCTGAGAAGCTCCCCAGGGTTATTTGGGCTTTAAGGAGAGGTCAAAGAACCATTGAACTTGTAAATATATTAGTATTTAAGGGAAGAATTGCTGTCTTCCAGCTTGGTTTACACGGTGTTGACTTTTTCCTGTTCTGGTTAAAGTGAGGGTTGGGACCTTAGTGGTGTGGGAGTGGAAAACAAAATGTGCATCAGTGCTGCAGGAGGGGTCTTTGCTCCAGAAAGCATCACAGGAGGTGTGCAGGCAGACAAGAGGCATTGCCAGCCTGAAAAGCAAAGCAGGGATGCAAAATATCTTTGTTATTTCTTGAAATTTTGCTTAAATGCAAAGATTTGTGCCAAGTCCCAACTGTGTGTGCACCTCAGCAGTGCTTGGACTTGAGCTTGCAGCTCCGTGTAGTGCTGCTGCAAGACCCTTCCAGCACCTCCTGTTCCATGCAGATCCCAAAAGTCATTTTATACCAAAAAAAAAAAAAAAGAGAGAAAGCAAAGAAGCAGACATTTGAAAGGTGAAGCCAAGCAGACGCTGGTAATGTATTCACAGGCATGACACAGAATGGCAGCGTGTCGTGAACCGCGTCCCCGGAGACCAAGGGGTGGGATATTGGCTTTAACCCACAAAGGCTCCAGTCGGGGCATAAATTCATCAGACTTACGGGATTGCTCTTGGACTACTGAATAATTTACGGTTCCAGAGCCCAGCCAGGTTCAGGTCATTGGGGTTCATGGGTTAATAACAGGTTTGGTTTTTGTTGTCAGCAGCTGCCTTGATAACATATGAAAGAATCCTATTCTGTTGATTAGATTTTGAAATGGATCAATTTTTAATCAGCAGAACATCTGACTCACTCAATAAGAGTAGCATTGTGGAGACAGAGTGGAGGTGCTCTTTATTTACAGGATTGTTTGTTTTTACCCATATGCAAATCCTTGGCCCCCCCGGCCCCATTTCCCCCAGGAGAAATTGCTCGTGGTTCCACAGCAGTGCGATGGGTGCCGGATCCAGCCCCACACCTCTGTAAATCCATAGGTGCTTGTGGGATACCTGGATTTAGCAATCTGTTGTTACTGATGGAAGAACGCTTCCTTACCAATGGGTTTCCCATGGGCTGGTGGTTGCCCACCCCAAGCCCTGGCCCAAAGCAGGAAGATCTCTAACCAAAATCCAGCCAAAACAACGAGCAAAGCTTCAATGTGAGTAACTTGGCCAATTTCACCACTACCTTTAATTCTAAAAGAGCTGAATTCCCACTTCAGGTTAATGTCTGAGTGGGGATAATGTTTCTGTCGTTTCTTTTCAGTGCTCAAGGCACAAAAGGCATCCCAGGCCCAATGTGCTGCATCACATCCTAATACCTACACACATTTCTTCTTGTAAAAGCACGCGTAAAATAAATTTTCCCATAAGTAGGAGCTGGCGTGTCAGAATTTCGGCCTGAAGCTATCGCTAACAACAGGCATAGTGGGACTCCCTGAAAATCCAGCTCCCACCTCCTTCCTTCCCACACTCTTTTTTAATAACAGAAAGGGTAAAAGTCTCATAAATAGAACTTCGTGAACGGTGTCACCGGATTAAAGATTGCTTTGCGGTTGTTGGGCGGGCGCTGATGGATCGCTCGTGGAGCCCTGATGCTGGCAGGTATTGATGCAGATAAGTTGGCTCCAGTGGTAATTTGCATGGTTTGCCCTGGGTGCTCTGCAGTTTTGCTTTTAAAACGCATGCCTTCTGGCAGTCTCCTTCACCTAAATAAATATTTTCCCTCTTGCCAAGGATCAATTAAGATCACAGTTCCATGGGGGCTTGTGGCAGCACTTCTTTTGCTTTTCTGTGTTTTTTTTTTTTTTGCTTTTTGCTTTTCGTGCTTGCCAGAGTTGCCTCACGGGCAGAGGGGCCTCAGGTCCCATCCTGGTGCCAATAAGACGGGTGATGGATGGGCATCTGCTAAAAACATGAGCAACGTCAGGAGGTTAAATATGCATTTTGCATCATCCCTGGCAGTTTTATTTTCAGGAGAGCAATGGGTGTCACAAGGTCGGGACTTTCAAATTAAGTTTATTTTAGTGATGGAGAACGTGCTCATCTGTTGAGCACCCACTGGTTATTTTCTGAAGAGAATTTAAAAAAAATTATAGAGTTATAAAGCTGTCTCAATTGGAAGAGACCCCCAAAATCTGTATGTTCCCACTGCCTGCAGTGCACAGGGACACCCGTAGCTCCATCAATGCTCACAGCCCTATCCCCTGACCTTGGGTGTCTGCAGGGATGGGGCACCACCACTTACTGCCTTATATTCAATCGAAATCTCCCCTCTTTTGGTTCGAAACCAGTGCTTTCACAAAGAGTATGGGGTCAGCTGAGCTGGGTTCTGTTTCTAAAGGCTGGTGCTCAAGGGCTCGGAGGTGATCCCATGTGTCAGGTAATGGGGACAGCCCTGGTTGATGCCCAAGGGAGGCATCAGCTCCTCTGGTAACTCATTAACTCTCCAAATTGCTGTTGCCTTTCACGGCAGAGGAAGTGGACAAACAGTGGATCAGAGTCTGGCTTTGGGTGTTGCTCGGGCCAGGGGTCACTCCATCAGTGCAGTGCTGGGATCCTCAGGGGAACAGAAGCGATGAGGTCAAAAATGTTGCCTTGCCCCTTCAGTTGGGATTTAAGAGAATAAACAGGTGAATTTGGGTCTGTGAACCCGTGCCCAGGACAGCCCCAGGCTGACAGGCAGCAGGCGGAAGCTGCGTTAATTTGGGATGGAGGCACTGGGAGCAGTGTGTCATCCGATCTCCTTCTCCTGGGATTTTTAAGGCACTTTTCCAGGTATGAGGCTCCTATGGTTTGAGGTATTTGAGCGTGTTAGGATGACACAGGTTGCATTTTGGCAGACGTCATGTTTTCCTTCTCTATCCCTTCCCCCCACCACACATAACCTCAGTCTAAAAGGGTTGCTGTATTTTTCTTTCACATTCAGCTGATAATTAAACAACAACAGAGCCCAGCATCCCTCCAGTACAGAGCAGATGGGGCAGCCTGAGTCCTCACACTCTGCTGGCTCCAGCAGCGCTGAGTCCCTGGGATGGTATGGGGCACGTGTGGCACAGCCGCATCCCGCTGTGGGATATGGGATGGGGTGTGGTATGGGATGTGGGATGCAGGACAGGATGCAGGATGGGCTGCAGGATAGAACGCAAGATGTGGGATGCGAGGCAGGGTGCGAGATGTGTGCTCCTGCCTCGTGCCTTCCCGTGGAGCCACTTTGCTTTTACAGCTGACGTGGAGGTTTTTTTGGTAACAAATACTTTTGCAGTGGATAATCCCAGTCTGCTACTTGAAGGAGCCATTAAGGAGCACAGTGCGAGCTGCCTGCTGCATGTACCCGCAGTGTGCTGAGTGCCTCCCGCTGCACGGCCGTGCCACGCAGCTCTGAAAAGTTTGGGGCTGCAGATTCCTTTGCAGAGGGATGAGAGCAATTTGCAGCAAAATCACCACCTTTCCCTGTTCTGTCTCTGAGCTGTTTAGAAACGACGTTGTTTGCTTCCCATCGTCTGCGCCGGTTTCTCATTGCAATGCCCTATTTTATTTTATTTTTAAGCAGCTACAATTGATAATTTAGTTTCGGATAAAGCAACCTTAGAGCTTTTATTTCTCAGAGGCCAAACACTGATGTTGTGTGAAATGGGAGCTTTGCGAAGCCTTTGTATGGAACTTAGCTTCCTGAAAAATTTATTTACTGCGACTGTGATCCGCAGGAGCAAATTGATGTTTATCTATGGTGGTTCTTGCCAGAAAAAAAAAAAAGCATAACTGCACTTTCTTCAGAAGCCTTGAAAGGCCTTTTAAATAAGTGTCTAATAGTAGGCTCTCAGTAGCAAACAGCCAGCTTGACAGACAGTGTACAGTATATTATTAACTATAAGCAGGCTTAATCTTTTTCTCATGTTTTAGAGAATGCTTTATAACCCCACGGCCAAAGGATTCGTGATCGCCGGGAATGTGAAGCTGAGCAATCTGATGTTACTGTGGGGAGATCGATGCGCCGGGCTGCTCCCTGCCACTCCTTGCCTAAGTTCTGCTTGGTTGAGCCTGAGGAATACGTTGCTGGTCCTGGGTGTGAGCCAAAGAGTTGGAGAAAATCGGCAATGAGCGTGCTGGAAGGCGGTGTGCAATTAGCCAATTAAACAGGCGGTGTTTGCTCGGTGTGTGACTCGCAGCCAGCTTGGGGTCGGTGGCCCTGGTGGCATTGTGGTGGCAGCAGTGATATGGGGATGTTGTCCCACAGTGCAGGATGTTTCTCCTGCACAGCTGGGACCAGGCAGGCTTCTCCTTATCTCTTCCATGTGTCTGCATCTGGCTCTGGTTCCCCATGGACAAGTGTGCCCATCAAGAAGACTCCTTGTCCTGGATGTATTGAGCTCCCCATCTTTGGTGTAGCTCAGTGGGACAGCAATGGATGCGGACAGTGGCACTGCCTCTGGGCATCCCCGGTCCTATGTCCCTATTTCCTGTTCCACATCACTTGGTCTTATATCTCCATCCCATCTCTGACCTCCAAAGCTCTTATGTGGTCTTGTCAGTGGGAGATGGAGCTGATGGCACATAAGATCTTCCTTTCTAACCCAATTTTGTAAATAATTTGTGTCCGCTCCAAGTGAAAAAGTGCTATATGTGTGTGCTGAGCCTCTTGGGACACGAGTCAGCTTGCTGCAGGCTCCTTTGCTACTTCCCAGGGCTCCCGTGGGGCTTTGCCAACCTCCTTCTGGCTCCATGAGTGGCTTCTCATCCTCTTGGCTGTCCTCAAGCCTTCTAAATTCTGTTTTCCTGGCTTTTACCTATGTGCCGTCCCTCATTACTACTCTGCTTCATTGCACATCAGCACCTACAATGCTCTGCAGCCATGCTGAAAGCTCCATCCAAAACCAGCTTATTATTTAATGTTTTTAATCATAATGGGAGGCTGCTTCTGGATGCTGATTGATCCAAGCATCTCCTGTCATCCAAGCATCTCCAGCTGAGGCTGTAATGAAATAGTTTGATGCTTTAACACAAGTGTCAAACACTTCCCCGACAGCACGAGCAGCAGAGACTTTGGTTGAGGCGTCACACCAGTTCCATTTCCTTTGATCCAGAAAAGGAGATAAGGAGTTTCAACTCAGGCTGGGTAGCAGCTGCTCTTGAAGATTTTAAAAATAAGAAAATATGCAATAATGGAAGTGTTAAGCTTTTGTGTCATGTTATGAACTAGTCCTAGTGCTGTGGAGTGAAATAATGTAGGTGTAATAACAGTAGTACAAATGATGAACGCGAGTTAATCCTAAACTAGAAAAGAAACAGAATGGTTTTCTTTTTGGAGATGCTCAGAGTTGGTTTTCCTGATATTTCAGGTGAGAACATCTTCAGAAAAGCCTTTTTTAAAAGAAACAAGTGCTGGTTTTCCTGGCGGTGGCATTCTCAGCACACAGTTTTGAATATTGGTGGGTCCAGTTCCTCCCCAGCACGGCGAGGTGGCACTGGGCTGTCATCAAGATATGGGAGTCTGGTCTGAGGATGTCCAATTGTAACGTTGAAGCACTTTTTGGAACATTGGCTTCATAAGCAAACGTTGTGTGAGCAGTTGAAGAGAATTTCTACAACATGCTGAAACGAGCAGGTTGCAGCAAATAATTGGATATCTGCGCTGCTTTCCCTCCACTCTCCTCCATATGGACACTGTGTGTGTTGGTCTTCTCACTTCAGAAGTTTTGCTTTTAGTGGTTTATTTTGAAAATATTTTCCTTACAGACATCCTCCCTCTCCCAATGTTGGTGCAGCCAACCTTAGGGCATGGAACGTGCCTGGGAAGTGGTGGTAGTATAGCGTCATGTTCCTGTCTGTCAGTCCTGCACAGGAAGCCGGGGACGCAGCAGACACACAGCCTTATCCACCCATCCATTCACCCATCCCTTCACCCATCCATTCGCCCATCCATTCGCCCATCCATCCATCCAGTCCTTCTATCCATCCATGCATCCATCCAGTCCCATCCATCCACCCATTCCAATGCTGGAATTCCTGCATTGGGAAAAAACAGGGGACTGCTATTGGCTTTGGCCAGGGCGCATGGCTCGCTTTGTATCAGCTTCTCAAGGAAAATTGTGGCGACTTTTTCAGCCAAGGAAAGCAAAACCTAAAAAGCTGGGAAGGCAGCGCATGCAAGATGCTATCTCTGGGTAGAGCGAGTTACAACATTTAATACAAGGAAGCTTTGAGGGCTGCACAGTTTGCATCAGAGCGCAGCGTTCCTGCGCTGGAGATTAAACCTCACATTTCATTTTTATACACTGTGCTTAATCCAATAATGATTCCATGTTACAAACGGCAATAATATCTTTCAGCATAGTTAATCAGAATAGACTTAATGCTGTCACTATTTATTAACCTCTGTTGAAAAGCAAGAAGTTTTCTTCCTAATCTGTGATTGTTGCTCTTGTCAGGCTCTATCAAGTGCAAACCAGCTTTGGCATTCATTAAGGCAGGAGGATGCTGCCTTGAAAGCTGGGATGCCTGCAATGGATGGCAATTCTGGGTGGGGAGCTCTAAAAATCCTCCCCAAATCCTCCCGTGTCCCATTGCTGGGTGGTGGTTGCAGGCAGGAATTTTGCCCTTCGATCTTCTAGCGTTGGTCTCTTATTGCAGAGCAGCCTGCACTGGAATTGGCTTGTAGGAGCACCTGGAATTAATGAGCCAGCTTGGTGCTGGGCAGAAATCGATGCTTCCTGCATTAATTGTGCCGTGTTCCAGCTTTGTCTTTTTATTCTGAGTTATGTAGTTGCAGGCAGAGATGTCTCTCTTTGGCAGTAACCCAGGGGTCTTGCTCTCATGCCTGTCCTGACATGTTGTCGGTGACACAGCACAGGAGAGCTCATTTTGGCCACGTTTTTGCACAGTTTGCTGCTTTTGCAGCAAGCAGGGTGCCCACTCCAGAGGAGCAGCGGCCTCATGGGGAATGCTTGGGGACCCAGCACAGCCACCTGGGGTAAGACAGTAACCTCTCATCCCTTCACCCCCGTAGAACAAGAAGCTCAAAAACTCAAAGCAAGCAACCCTCAAACCCTCTTATTTCTGCCTGTCTCCATCACTCCATGTCCCCAGGATATCCCTTCCAAAGCACCCATGGGATGCAGTTGGTGGCACAGGTTTTGGTAGCACCGAGTTCTGTCTTCTGAACTAAAATGAGGTGGGTTTTGGTACCAATAACAATAATTTGGAACCCTTTTAAACCTCCTCTGCAGGAGGCTGGCATCTCTTCCGAGTTGGATATTAAAGCAATTCCTTCTCCCAAAGAGCAGCCAGGCATCAGCACAGGCAGGTTGGATGGGGCCCTGGTCTCCTTGGCCTTGTGCCTGATTTTGTTGGCAATCCTGTCCATGGCAGGAGGATTAGACCTCAATGACCTTTGAGGTCCCTTCCAACCCAAGCCATTCTGTGCTTCTATTCTACAACTTTCCCCCTCCGCGCATCCTGCTGATAGCAATTGGCAGGACTGTGGGCTGTGTGTGCCCAAGGCTTTCTGCTTCCAGACTTCTTCAGGTCTTGTGAAGCAGTGATATTAAGAAAAAAAGAAAGAAAAAAGGCAAGAAAAGGAAAAATCCCAAGCCCGCATCCTCATCATGCATGGAGGTCTGGAGTGCTCTGCTGCTAAATTTAGCCATTTAAAGAAGATTATGGCCTATCCACTTGGGACTTTTAAAAAGGCTTTCACAATAACTCTTGAGAGCCTGATGCCTCTAATCCTTAACTTTAATTTAAAATAAAGAAATCTTTTCAAGTTGCCCTGCTGCCCTCCCCCTGCCCCATTATTCAGGCTGAGGTTCTCTGCTGCTTGCTTATGGAGCAGAGATGTGCTAAGCTGGTTTAATTTCTTAGGAAGACTTTTTTTTTTTTAATAGAAGGAAAATCAAGCCAACACTCGAGAGCATACACAGCAGTTTACCGCCATAGGAGGAATTAATCAGTCTATAAAGTTCAAAATGTACAAAGAGGGAAAAAAACCCACCCTGAGAGATCAAACACAAGGCTCTTCTCCACGATGCAAAGATAAAAGCCTCTTCCTCCACATGCTTCCCTGCTATTGGCAGCCAGTGGGGTCAAGATTTTTTTTTTTGTTGTTATGGAAAGCCAGAGATAATTAATGTTGTTGAAAGAGGGCTCTGGGCTCGGCGTCTGGCAGGCGAGCCCCCAAGTCTGGGCTGCGGCGAGGCAGCGGCAAGCGAGGAAAGTTCCCCGCAGAGGAGCTGCCAGCAGAGTGAAGCCATAAATAATAGCAGGAGATATAAAGGAGGCTTGGAAGCAGCACAGTGCTGCTGCTCCTTGGGTGGGTGCAGCACAGGGTTGGGGTCCTGTCCCTCCTTGGGTCCCGCATCACCCATCCCTCTGTGTTCCTGGGATGCCCCCAAGATTCTCGGTGCCCCAGTAGCTGCCTGCTTGGTGTAGCTCATTTGGATGTGTCCTGTTGCAGGGTTTGCTCTCAACTGCCTGTGTTGGTGATCAATAGATGTATGGTCACCCAAGCTGGCTGTGCATCTCTTCTATCAAAGCTGTGACAACGAAAGATCAAGATGTGAGCAGGCAGACTCATGCATCGAACGCTATTTAAAAAGCAGGATGAATTAATTACCACCATTAATGATCAGGGAGAGACTTTGGGAGGCTTCAGTTAGCCTCAAATGTGGAGAAAACCACGTTGATGGCATCCCAGTGCCATGCCCCAAGATGGATCTGATCCCTGAGCATCTCAAGCTGTCCCCACTGCACAGTGCTGGGTTTGCCCATCCAGCTGCTTGCTCAGATCCTGTTAATTAGGATTATTTTTTTAACTGCTTGGAGGCATCACTGTCCTTTCTCAGTCCTGCTGAAGGAACAGTGCAGAAGACCATCAGCCCCTTTTCTGTGCTGGTTAGTTGTAATGCAGCAGCAACAGAGCTGCAACCAGACAGGACTTGTCAGCTGTAAAAGACACTGGCAGATTTTATTAGTTGACAGAAGGGTTTTTTTTTTTTTTTTCCTCCTGAAAATATTAAAAAGTCATTTTAGTTTAGAAACCTAATTTTAATTTAGTTAGGTTTTAATTTAATTTAGGTTTTAAATTCATTTTCCGTCAGAACTCAATTTTTCAAGTGTAATTTGATGCCGTCAGTGGCTATAATGTTTAATGTCCTGCCTA